TTTCCCAAAAAAATATACAACAATAAGCTATACATCCCATTACATTATCAAATTTCTTACCTCACCTTCCTCCGGCCTCGGGGTGTTCAAACGGTTTGGTTACCGTGGTAACCGTTTTAACCGGTACTATTTGGATAATTTGGTTTGGTTAATTTGGAAAATTGGTTTGGTTTGGTTAAAGTTTTTAGCTTGTTTGGTTTAGGTGGTTTGGTTTCAAACACTCCTAACCAGTCAAACCAAATTAACCAGTTAAGTAATTAATCATATATCTAACATATATTATATACACATAATACTTTGCATAACCACTCAAGAGTTAGCGTTCACCCTTTTAGACTCATAAAATATGAAGCTCAATATTGCTCATAGAGTGTATATTTGTATATGTAAAGTCTAGAACACAACATATGGACGCCTAATTTAGATAAATTTCATACATTATGATGAATGATAACTTGAAAGGAAGGTCATTTCCAGCCTATGATAATTGCTAATAGACTAAGTCAATTTACACAAACACAACAATTCATTAACCCATACCATTGTCATAATTTTTTGTTATGTGAATACTTCTATACTAATCGTAAGATAATTTTCTTAGTTGCATGTATTTTTGTTAAGGGTCAACTATAACTACGTGTTGATTGTTATGTTTTATTCATTATATAAATTGCGAATTGTTGCATTAACCGGAAAATTTTCATCGTCAATGATAATGTGATTTTATATTGGTTAATCTGGTTAACCAATTAACCAAACCGATTAAACTTTAGTTTGGTTAATTTGGTTGTTGTATTAGTTTGGGCGGTTTGGTTATGATATTGTATTCCATGGTTAATGGAATTTAGTCTTATTTGATTTGGTTATAACCATAGTAACCATTTGAACACCCCTACTCCGACCAAATGGCCGGGGCCCACGCTAGTCACCATCATATAATCCATCTTTGCGGTAGATTTTTATGTGCCTTTTCATTTGAAAACGAAGATTAATTACTGTCATATTGTGATCATTTACGAAGCATAATAGAGGTTTCGTCCTGGCATATTAAATTGTCATCTATGCCTTTTTTTTTTTTTACAATAATCCAACTTTTATTCCACCATTGAAAGAAACGCGTTAAAAAGCGATTACACATTTAGAGGAGATCAGAAATTAGGTCAAGAATACTAATCCAGTCTTCTGGCAGCGTAGATCTGGCTTTAGATCGTGCAACCCAATCAGCCCTAACGTTCAATGCCCTTGGAACCTCGATAACGAAATTGTGGGGTTATTCCGAAGGATATCCACCATTGTCCTAATCCAGGCTGCACATCTCCAGGGCCATCGAGTCTAATTATGGTTCAGGGCCTTCACCAAAATTTGACAGTCAGATTGAACTGTGCAAGCCGATCCATATTCTTGTGCTAATTTAATACCTTCCAAAAGTGCCTTCGCTTCTGCTTCAATCGGGGTGGAACAAAGAAGAGACTCAGCTCTCCCATCACACACTTGTCCATGGTGGTTAACAACAACAACACCATAAGCCGCCGACTGGGAGTCGCTAAAGAACGACCCATCACAGTGAATCACCAAAGAGTGATTACTTGGCGGGGGATTCGTAGTGGGAAGGGTTCCCCTGAGCTGAGGGTGACCATCATGAGAAAGAGGTGGGGTCCTCGGGCAAGCCATCCATTCCGTTAGTTCCCTATAGGTTTGCAGACAAACGTTTGGGGGCCAGGGAACTCTGTTCTTAAAGGTACATTCGTTTCTTGCCTTCCAAATGTTCCAGCAAAGATAGATAATGTGAATCAGAGAGTTATTCGGGATGGTATCTTTGAGGGAGCAGAACCAGTCAAAAAAGGAGGTACTCTGTGGGGGGGTCGGGATGGATGGGAAAATGGAGTTCCATGAGTCTCTGGCATGCGGGCAGTAGAAAAGGCAGTGGTTGATGGATTCCACCGGATCTTGACACACCTGACACACCGGGTTAGGAGCACATTTCCGCTGGAAAAGCCTAGCTTTCGTTGCCAACCCATTTCTGGAACATCTCCAAAAGAAGAACTTTAACTTTGGTGGAATATTCAATCCCCAGATCCATTTCCATCTCTCTTCACTTCCCGTCGGTTGAAAATTGGTGTTTGCTTTATGAACAGCGTGGTATGCCGTCTTGACCGAGAAATCCCCTTCTCGAGTGAGGCTCCAAGCCCAAAAATCCTCAGATCCTTCTTCCCCTATAGGAATTTTAAGGATAGCCTCCATTTCTTCCCTTGACACATGACCTTGAATCAACTCCGTGTTCCATCTTCTATTATCAGGGTCTATCCAGTCCTTGACCCTAAGGTTTTGTTGGGGGCCACTCTTAATGACAAAATTATGCAGGCTCGGAATCCATGGATCTTGACCAACCCATGTATCCTCTCCCGCTCCGATGATTTTAACTGCTCCCATGTTGATTACTTTTTTTGCCTCCCATAGACTCGCCCAGATCCATGAGGATCTACTCCCTTTTTTGGATTGCATGAAGTCTACTCTCGGGAAGTACAGACCTTTCAGAAGTCGACACCAAAGGGCATCGGTTGTAATAAGGAGTCTCCACGCCTGTTTCGCCAACAGGGCCATGTTGAAGTCTTTGAAACTTCGGAATCCCAGTCCCCCTTCATGTTTCGGGGCGCAGAGAACTTCCTTCCTACACCAGTGCATGGTACTTTTTTGCATTGAGCCTGACCAGAAGAAGTTGGTGAGGAGGGAGTCCATCTTCTTGGTGAGGTTCACCGGAAGGTGGAAGAGGTACATTATGTAGGAGGGGATAGCTTGTATAACTGCTTTGAGCAAGACCTCTTTCCCTCCGTGAGAAAGGAGGAGACTCTTCCATGCTTCCCCTCATCTTCTCCATTCTCTGAATAAGGAATTGAAAGGTTTCCTTTTTTGAATTCCCCCACTCTGTCGGGACTCCTAAGTATTTTGAGTGACAGTTTGAGGTTGCAAAACCGATATGGGCTATGATCGCAGATTTTTCACCATCTGTGACATTCGCACTGAAAAAAACTGAGGATTTGTTGATATTCACCTCTTGACCTGTGATGGCTCCATACTCTCTGATGAGGTCCAGGATTTTCTCTGCCTCTTGATGGTCCGCCTTTCCAAAGATGACTGTATCATCTGCAAATAGACAGTGGGTGAGGATCGGGCATCTCGCGTTCAACCTAATTCCTTTTAGCTGGCTCTGGGAAACCGCTTTGTCCATCAGAAAAGTGAGAGCATTAGACATCAAAATGAAAAGGAAGGGTGAAAGAGGGTCTCCCTGTCTAATTCCCCTTGACGGCTTGAACTCTTCTATCGCTTCACCATTGAAAAGGATGGAGAAGTTGACCGTCCTTATGCAGGAGCTAATCCATTTGCACCATCTCTCATCAAAACCATACTTCTTCAGCAACGTCTCTAAGCACTCCCAGTCCACCATATCATACGCCTTCTTCATGTCCAGCTTGAGCATCATGTCTCTTCTCCTTCCCCTTTTGTGGTTTTTGAAATGGTGGAGGGCCTCGTGGACAATAATGATATTGTCTTGGATGAGTCTACCTCCCGTAAACGCCGTTTGTAGCTCCGATACCAGGTCAGGTGTCCATTTTTTCAGTCGAGTTGCCATAATTTTTTATATAATTTTATATCTAAAATTACAGCAACTAATGGGCCGGAACTGGCTTATCAGCTCTGGATGGTCCACTTTAGGAATCATGACAATGTGAGTATCGTTCCATCCATTCGGCATCGTGGCTGTCTCAAAGAACTCCTTAACCTCTCTACACACTGTTTCCCCAATAATGTCCCAGAATCTTCTATAAAACCTGCCCGAGAAGCCATCCGGTCCCGGAGCCTTTTTCGCTCCAAGTGAGAAAACTGCTCTTCTAATCTCCTCGCTTGTCACAGGGGCACACAGATCTTCATTCATTTCAGTTGTGACCTTTTCCGGGAACCCATCCAGGAGATGGTTGAAAGGAATTTGATTTCTAGCTCTAAACAGATCTTTGTGGAAATCCTGAGTTATTCCCTTAATCCTACTTTCGTCTTCCACCCATTCTCCCCCATCATCCTTGAGCCTAAGGATCCTATTCTTATGCTTTCTATGGATCGTGCTGGAATGGAAGAAAGAGTTATTCTGATCACCTTTTTGTAGCCAATTCACTCTCGAGCACTGATTCCAGAATACCTCCTCCTCTCTCCAAATCTTGGACAACTCTTCAATGAGACTTTTCTCTTCCTCCACCCTTTCTTGTGTTCTGGGTGGTCTCTGGGTAACTTCCAGGCGCTCAAGGATGTCTTTCTCCCTTTGAACACTAATCCTATGAGAATCCTTTGACCAATCTTTTAGGTCTTGCTCACATCTGGCCAGTTGGTTTGATGAAAGCCCTCCCGGGTCCCAAGCTCTAACCACTATCTCCTTACATTCTTCCTTATCCAACCATCTCTCATCCACTCTAAAGGGAGTTTTCCTTCTCCTATTCCCTCTGCAATACAGTTCCAATCTGATAGGGCAATGATCCGACTCTACCATCTTCTCATGAAAAACAGTCGCTTCCCCAAAGCGGACTCTCCAAGAGTTCGAGCACAAAACTCGGTCCAGACGAACTCTCGTTGTATTCTCTCCGGTACGCTTATTAGTCCATGTGAACGGTTCTCCTTTAAACCCTAGGTCAATAAGAGCGTTATGGAAGATGAACCTTTTAAAGGGTTCTACATTCTCGTACCTAAGAGGACATCTACCCTCTTTTTCACTTTCATATATCGCAGCATTGAAATCTCCTACAATCACCCATTCTTCCTCCCTACTACTCCGAAGAGAGCTAAGGTGCTCCCAAAATTCCCTTCTACTAACAGCGGTAGAGGGTGCATGAACAAAAGTACAAAAGAACACCCTACCCATATCAATACTACAATCCATATAAAAGCTATTGCTACTTAAAACGTTAATATTAATACCCGCTTTCCACCACAAAGCAAAACCCCTAGAAGAGTTAGCCGGTTCAACATACTCTTTGTTGGGGAAAATCTTGAGACTTCTTCTTTGTTCCTCCATGAATGTCTCGTTTTTGCTCGTTTCCATGAGGAACACAATCGAAGGGCCCAAACGTCTACATAGACGCTTCGCATAACTTCTTGTAAGGGTTTGGCCAAAACCCCTACAATTCCAGCTAATGATACTCATTCTTGAAGAGGTGGCTTTTGGCGAACCACCGCTGCCTTTTTCTTCTTCCCCTTCCCTTCTTGATCATCTTCTGTATTAGTCCCCTTTGAGATGTTGGGATTTTGAGGCTTAAACTTCTGGTTTTTCTTCCTAATGGGCTCACCATTTCCACCCATCTCAAAGGCTCCTGATTGCCCAAAAAACATAGCCTCTTCTTCAGATATTTCGGCCCTGGGCCTTCCTTCATTCACCAGGCCCATCCCCTTTCTTTTCTTTTTCACCTGGCCCCCATCTCCTTCCCTTACCTCACTGATATGCTGGTAATCAGCATCACCGATTGGGCCAGCCTGTGATGTGTAATGGGCCGGCTTTTGCTGCACCCTTGGCCCTAGGGTTAGTGAGGTCTCCACCATTGCGTATCGTGGCCCTCCTCCTTCATTGAGACACCTCTCGTCCTCCAGACTCAGCCCCAATTCCATTGCCGCCGCCGCCCTATCCATCTCCACCATCAGATTCTTCGATCCCATCTCCTCCCTGTATCTCCCTCTCCATCTTCCTTGTGTATCCGCCCCCTCCCCTCCCTGTATTTCTTGCTCGATCCTCCTCACTGTGAACCCAGGAGGGATTTGTTGATTCCCCTCCGATGTCCTGCTTTCTGCCTCGACCGGAGACCATTCTTCATCCTCCCCCACTCGACTCTGGCTTCCCGTTCTCGACCTCTCCCTCCCAACAGACACGCTTTGTGATCCTTCCCCCTCCCAGCTGCTTCTGACCTTGGCCGATTGGCTCCTGTGTGGGGAGTCAATCCCCGCCTTTAGCGACGAGTTGTATATCTCCGACAGGTGAGCAGTCCCATTTCTCTTCCTTTCTTCATTCATCCTCCAGCATGTTGGCCAATTATGGCCTATTCTTCCACAGAAGTAGCATAATTCCACCAGCCTCTCGTACTTAAAATCGATCACGTCGCAGTATTCAACCCCTGTTCTCTCGTCGGTGAATGGGAAGTCGAAGCCCGTTGGCACTGGCTCGTTCAGATCAACCTCCACCAGAATCCTCAAGAATTTTCTGTATCCCGCGAAATCTAGACTAGCCCTGTCCAAATCCAGTAGCCCAGGGAAATAATGGGTCCCGATTGCAACCATGTTTTGCTCGCTTCTTTGATTCTGGTGCAATCCATGAATCTGCACCCACATAGCCAGCTTCTCCATAGGGACTTCCTCAGGTTTGCCTCTCCCATTATATTTTTCAATGGCTGTAAGAGTGTTAGACAGACTCCAGGGTCTGTCATTCCATATCTTCTCCCTCACTTCTTCTTTATTGAACGTGAAAATGAACAGATTCTGTTTGTCAGTTGGCTGGACGTTTACCTCACCATATCCACCCCAGGCATAGCGAGCCGCTCCTGCTGCCTTAGCCAGCGCCACCCTGTTCTCGGTCAGCATCTTCCCCAGCATCATTGATATGCCTCGGCCCCCGGTGGAAGTGAGAATTGGGCGATCGCTTCTGCTTCTTGATGATGATGGGGTAAGCCTGTTTTCCTCTCTTGTTCCGCTTGGTGCTCTGCTGTTGTTGATATTCATGTTGAGAGTTGGTTTTTTCCTTTTTCTTACTTGGTGTTTGGTGTTTTCAGGGGAGCTGTATGGGTTTTTTCCGAAGCAGAGTCTGCTGGGTAGGAGAGTTCTATTGGAGGTAAGCCCTCTTCTTCTTTCCTTCTCTTCCTCTTTAAAGACTCTTCCATGTAGTTGGTATTTAATTCCTTCCCTCTGTTGGTAGCTTTGTTTCTTGTCAAGGTATTCATTACCCCTCTGTTGACTGCTACTCACCTTTCTCTGCTTTCTCACCTCTTTCCCAGCTGCACTTGGTTCAAGACTGCGGCCCCTCTTCCCTCTACTGGTGCTGACTCCTCCAGGGTACCATCCAACAGGTTTCCTTCTTATTCCTCTTCTCTTCTTCCTTCTCTGACATTTGAATCTATCTATCCATCCGTCTGGTGGCTTCCATATCCCCCTTCTCTTTATGTCCTTTGTTGATCTTCCCCTGCCTTGTCCAATCTCTTTAAGATTCTCTTCTGTTGGTGATGGGTTGTTGCTTCCTACCTTCTGATGATCTTTACTTCCTTTCTTTGTTTGTGTAGACTTCTTAATTGCGCTCTTCTCTTGCGCAGGAACAGTCCCAACTCTGGGGACGGAAAAGGAACCGTTAGGTTCAGAGAAACTTCCCGTTAGAGAGAAGGATGAGAGAGACATAATTTTACGAAAATGGTGTCATCTATGCCTACTGGCTCCTATTTGATGAAATATTGATCTACTTAATTTGAGAACCACAATGAATCTCAATAAAAAGGGGGTTCCTATTCACTTTTTTTTTTACGAAAAAGTGTCTTCAACCAATTATTTATTATATTTTCTCGATGTGATTCTCAATTTAAGAATATTGATGTATTTGAAACTGAAGACTTATTATCTTGACAAATCTATTGCCACAACTATTTATTATAGATATTTATATTTTAACTTTGTTATTGATACGATAATAAATAAAATAATAATAATTAGTAATAAAGTCCATAACACATCGTAGCAAAGCGCGGCTAACACCTAGTAATAATTAAAAGAAAAAGAGATAACGAAATAATATCCCACGACACACCTGCTACATTTTTTTAGATGAGCTGGTGGTCTTGCTTCCCGTCAACTTGTTTGAGAAAGCAATAATTGTGTTTAGACTTTTTTACATTATCTATCCAAATTTGTCTTATCTAATTCATCTAGTTTAGAGCACCGGCAACTAAATAGGGACACGATACGGTGTGGGGTTGTCAGATTCACAAAGATATTTTGGGTATGAAAAAATGAATATATTAATTACCTTTTTTGTATTAATTATATTGGGAATTAAATACCCATATTAAATAATATTTTTTTCTGAAATTTAAATCCTATACATTAATATCCCTATCTATCTCTCTCTCTTCCTTTCTCCAGCAGCCACTCCGCATCGACCGACAAACTTTTTCTCCGGCGAATTCTCTCCGGCAGACTGCCTCCGGCAACCTGAAAAAATGTACCAATGCGTTAAAAAGTGTACCAATCTATTAGTCTACTGGTAATTAATATACCAGTGCTGGTGGTACGCTAGCAGTACGTTAAAAAATGTACCAGTACTAGCGGTACCAGTAAAAAATGTACCAGTACTAGTGGTACGCTACCAGTACAACGCTACCAGTAGAGAATAACACAACGCTTAGGGCTGCAAATGAGCCAAGCCGCTCGCGAGCAACTCGGCATTCGAATCGGAAAAAACTCGTTCGACACTCGACTCGTTATTTAACAAGCCGGCTCGCGAGCCAACTCGTTAGTTAACGAGCCAAGCCTGAGCTAGACCATGCTCAGCTTGATAAGCTCGCGAGCTAGCTTGATTCGGTGGCTTGTCGAGCTAAGCTCGCGAGCTGCCTTGTTTTAAGCTTGTGGAAGGATGAATTACTCTTTTAAACATGAACATTGTCTTATAATACAGATGTGTATGAAATTTAGATGTTATTTCTAGTTTCTAGTATTCTTTCTATCATTTAAATTCTTATGTTTATACATTTTTCCAGCAAAAATGATTTTAAATCGAGCTCATCTTGAGCCGAGCTTGTACTCAGCTTAACAAGCTATGTTAATGAGCATTTATCGAGCTCTACCGAGTCGAGCTCGAGCTAGATTATTTTTATTCAAGCCGAGCTCGAGCTCGAGCTGGATTATCAAAATTCGAGTTCGAGCCGAGCTCGAGCTGAAAAATTAATAAACGAGCCGAGCTCAAGCTAAGCAAAAACTCGACTCGACTCGGCTCGTTTGCAGCCCTAACAACGCTACTAGCACTGGTAGCGCTACCACTAGCATTGGTAGTGGTACCAGTAGAGGATAACACACACAAAAAAACAGATGATAGTGGTACCAGATGATAGGGGAGTCACTGGTATTGGTACCAGTGAGTAGTGGTAGCGTACCAATAGCGCTACCAGTGGTATTGGTACCAATAGTGCTACCAGTGGTATTGGTACCAGTAGAGACTATCAGATCTGGAAAAAAAATAGGGATGAGGAAAGAGGGAGGCAGGAAAGAGTCTTGACCTCGCGGCGGCGGGGCGCGGGGGGAGGACAGCGGCGCGGCGGCAGGGGAGGCAGAGGCGGCGACAGTGGTGTAAAGACGGCGACAAGTGCGGCTGGGGCGACGAGGACAGCGGGTAAGGCGGGGACAATGTCGGCGTGAGGAGGAAGGCGGTCGCGACAACGATGATGGAGGTCGGTGGTGGAGCTCTTGACGGCTAGGGTTTTTTTGTTAGAGATATGTGAGAGGGGAAGAGGAGGGAGACACAGGAAATTGGGGGGAGGGTCTGTTTTTTTTTTTTTGGTAATAAAAAGTATTTATATGAAAAATGGAAAGGATCTCATGTGGTAAGTTTTCCATTCCGAAATTGCCCTTGGTTTAATAATCTTAACCATTAATTAAAAAAAAAAAAGCAGGAGAGAGAACGTATCCGATGACCACAAAGGTGATTGTAAATCTCACAACCCCTTAGGGGGTTGTGATCGTATCTCATCCCAACTAATTATAAGTGATAAGACATTGTTATGATATAATAATATTTTCTTACAATATCATCGATTTAAGCCTTACAACTGTAGTATCGGAGAGTTTTGTTGACAGATTATATAATAAATCTAATGATTTTTTTATGGTTAATAATTCTGACGATTGCAGTTATCTCAAATGTGCACAATGTTTAAGCTCAGGTCCAGCTGATGGTAATTAAATACGGGAGGGTAAAATGAAATACACGCATCATAAGCTTCTCATCTTGTGTCAGTGTACATATTTCAAGATGCAGCTTTCCTTTACCCTCTGTAATGGCGATCGAAACTAGGTAGTCCCAGGCTTTTGGTGTTACCTTTTATGGGGATATCCAATTTGTCATACATCTAGTTCTGACAATTGATGTTTTGTCATGGCGGGTTGACCCGTCAATGATTTTAACTGTCCAACATAATAATTAAGGGAATTGATAAACGTCGTCCTTAAAATTACTATTGATCGTCCTAAAAAAATAACAAAGTTACACTTTTATCCTTTTGTCATCTTTACCAAACAAACATCACTTTAACTAAAAAAAAGGAAAAACACTCAATTTCCCACACTCTCGAATTCATCGTTGACATTCTCGAGTCGTAATTGTTGGGAATACGTCCGAATCATGAGTAGCGACTCCGATGAGGTAAAAATCCGATTTATTTTCAAAAAAACCCAAAACCCCTCAACCGAAGCCAATTTTCGGTTGTACCATGGCTCAACCTAAGGCAATTTTCGGTTTGACCATGGACCAACCGAAAATTGCCTTAGGTTGCACCATGGCTCAATCGAAGCCAATTTTCGGTTGTACCATGGCTCAACCTAAGGCAATTTTCGGTTGGTCCATGGTACAACCGAAAATTTCCTTAGGTTGAGCCATGGTACAACCGAAAATTGGCTTCGTTGAGGGGTTTCGGGATTTTTTTGGATTTTTTTTTGTTTTATATCAATAATTTTCTATTCTTTTACTACGATTTATGGTTCGGTCCATAAGATAATTTGTTGGATTTTGGTTTATATTTTTTTAGATTTATGGAAGGGGAGGGGTTGTTTGTTTTGTGTTTGATTTTGAAATTCAAAATGGGCAATTCGGTAAATTACATATTAAGTTAGGACGATGGTTAGTAATTTTTAGGACGACCTTTAACCATTCAGATAATCAACTCTCGGATTTGTTCAATTTTCATAAATTTGATGCATAATTGAGACCATGAAGTTATAGATCGAAACAATTAGTTAGGATGTTAAATATGTGTAAAGCTCGGATTAGACGAAAATATTAACTCTTAATATTTTATTTATTAAGTTAAAATCCTTAATGAATAGTAGAACGGATTTAGTTATATATATAGACAAATATATTAGGTAGTGGAACTAGGGATGGCAATGGGTCGGGTTGGGGCGGGTTTTGTCAAACCCAAACCCAAACTCATGGGTTTATCCGTCAAAAAAATCCGGGGTAAAATCCGTTGGGTTTGAAAAACTCAAACCCAACCCAACCCGCTGGGTATCCGTGGGTATTTCTAGTAAAAAATTTACAATAACAAGTTTCTTTCAAAATAAAATTTTAACTTCAATTTTCTCATACAAATTAATCATACAAAAAACACCAATCTAGAGCATACAAGCAAACCGCAATGATCAATACAAATTGTTCAAAATTAAAGATAAACATCTATAAACAATAAGATTAATTGAAAGTTTCTTCCTCGTCAACTAAGTTTCTTCATTCTTCACTTCATAATATCAACGTCATTCTAAACAATTAGAAAGAATAAATTATCTCCACAAACATAAAAAAATATTAGTTGTTTAAGGAAGATATATTATTTAGAATATTAAATATACCCGGAAAGTAATTATATGTGTGTGGGCGGGTACCCATGGAGCGGGTTTACCTAAACCCAAACCCAACCCTACCCGGTGAATAGTGTAGCGGGTTCAAACCCGAACCCAGCCCAAAACCCGTCAACACGGGTTTTACCCACGTTAACTGGGTTGGGTCGGATGGGTACCCATGAGTTCGGGTTTTATTGCCATCCCTAAGTGGAACGGATTTAGCTTTATATATATAGACAAATATATTCTGGTACGTACATTGATGAGTCCAAATAGTGTACTGTTTCGAGTCCGAGATATCAAATGTAGATGGAATTCAAGAACAAGGTGTTGGAGTGGAGTTGTATGCAAATGAGGCTAAAAGTTGGAAGATCTGATACTTAAAATCTAAAAACCAAAAACTCTCTCTTTAGTTCTATTGACAAAATCATATGGTTTTCAGGTCTTCATTGTCATAACAACTTGGATTTACTTGGTATATGCTCAAAGGTGCATATTTAGCCTGATCTGGAAGTATTTTAGCACATTTGATGCTTGTTGGGTAGCTTTTGGATATTTTCAGATCGAGCTATCAAGGAGGATCGTCATGATATGAAAGCGAGCGTCTGGGATCTTATGAGGGACAAATTTGAATTTTGGATGAATCGGATATGATCTGAACTAGTCAGCAGCAAAATGATTGTCAAGTCTGCTAGAAGCACAAAATGACAGTCAAAATCCCAAATTGGCGGCCCAGACGACGAAAAAGCCCTCCATTTTCGGAAAACGTGAATAAAAGGCTTATTTCGAGGAGCAGCATTCACCTTTGTCATTATTATGAAGTCTGTAGGTTTTTGTTACAGAATTATGACCTAGAGAAGCTCCGAAGCCTCAAAATGAAGGGATTTTTCCAGAAATAGCACCATTAAATAATTAAAAAAATAACGCCCAGCTCACAGAAATTCCAAAAATAGCATCTTTATTTTAAAACGCATCTCCAAGGTGCGTTTTACATGTGAACCGCACGTCCAAAGTGCAGTTTATATGTAAA